GGGGCGCCCCAGCCACTCACCTTCCAGGAAGAGCAGATTCCTGGAAGCGAGGGAAACGACCGTCATTTTACAGTCAGGCGGCACGGTGAGCGGGAACCCGGGCTACGCTGCTCCCCGGCACGGGGATACGCGGCCTTCGGAGAGCACGGAGCCGCGCCGAGCCGGCCAGGGATGATGCTCTAAGGAGGGAGAGGAGGGAGCGGGCAGGGGATGGGGAACCAGGGATGCTGACTGCTCTGCCCTCACAACGCAGCCGGCTGCCTGGGGGCTCAGCATCCAGGCACAGGACCCAAAATATTGGTGGGAAGTAGAGGATCTGATGACCGGAGAGAGAACAGCATCATCCTCAATGTCAGCTTACAGTCACCAATGGCTCATTTGGGCTCCGACCCTCCTGCATCGATAAGGGATGCAGGAGCCTCGGTCCTCAGCTCCAGAAACAGAGCAAAAATGCCTTGGATCAAACTCCCCCAGCTTCCCGGTGTGTCCAGACCCAGAGCCCGCCAGAGCCAGGCAGCTCTGGAGCAGATGTTCAGCCCAGAAGAGAGGCACTTCACACCTTCCCAACACTCGGTGTGCACAAGCGTATCCATATCCAACAGCCAGAGCCCACAGACACAACACACGAGACCACGGCTTCGTGCTGGAGTTGCAAGGAACTTTTTTAGGCAGCATTTCCAGGTAAGCTTACCTTGGCGTGCAGTTCCCATCCTACAAAAAAAGACCCTCCTAGTCCCAGGTTTAACCCTGCAGATGAGAGCAGGGCTCACTAACAAAGCACCCAGGCGATGCTGACTGCAGGAAGAACCTCGCTGCACTGTTTCACAACCTGTTCCCAGCTACTGCCGCTCTCTGATGTATTGCAGAAAGGTTAAAAACCCCAAACTAGAATTTAAGTTAAATGTTAAGGAGAAAAAAAAAAAGTTAATTCCTCCTCAGTCCTTTCAAGAATAAAGGCAGGGCACAGCATTCCGTTTTTAGCTCAAAGCTCAGCTCCGCTGCCAGCCAGCTTCGTTCTCCAGGTCCCAAAGGATCCTTCTTATCCCAAAGGATCCTTCTTATCCCAAAGGACTCCCAATCTCCTTCTGACTGGAAGCACCAAGGGATAACTGAGCTGATCCTTGGCACCCAGCCCTCCCCGAAACAGGGGTCGGGCCAGCGCAAACCTTTGCACTGCCAAGAGCCTCTGCTCCCCTGGGAGGGATCGCTGTCGAACCCATGCAGAGCTGCACTGAACTCAGCCAGGACCCCCCGCCAGAACATCACCCTCCCCCCAGGAACAGAGTTCTTCCCTCTGTGCAGCAGCGGGTCTGAAACTGGGAGCCCCGAAAACGGCTCCTGCGAGCGGCTCCGAGCCCCGGGAAGGTCGGCAGGCGGCCCACCGCCGCCAGTGAGGGCTGAAGCACTATCC